CAGCCAGCAGTCCTTAGTGACTATAGACCTCCTGCCTTGATCCAGGACCAAAGAAGACTCAGCCAGCGGTCCTCAGTAACTATAGACCTCCTGCCTTGATCCAGGACCAAAGAAGACTCAGCCAGTGGTCCTCAGTGACTATAGACCTCCTGCCTTGTTCCAGGACCAAAGAAGACTCAGCCAGTGGTCCTCGGTGACTATAGACCTGCTGCATTGATCCAGGACCAAAGAAGACTCAGCCAGTGGTCCTCAGTGACTATAGACCTCCTGCCTTGTTCCAGGACCAAAGAAGACTCAGCCAGCAGTCCTCAGTGACTATAGACCTCCTGCCTTGTTCCAGGACCAAAGAAGACTCAGCCAGCAGTCCTCAGTGATTATAGACCTCCTGCCTTGATCCAGGACCAAAGAAGACTCAGCCAGCGGTCCTCAGTGACTATAGACCTCCTGCCTTGATCCAGGACCAAAGAAGACTCAGCCAGCAGTCCTCAGTGACTATAGACCTCCTGCCTTGTTCCAGGACCAAAGAAGACTCAGCCAGCAGTCCTCAGTGACTATAGACCTCCTGCCCTGTTCCATGACCAAAGAAGACTCAGCCAGCAGTCCTCAGTCACTATAGACCTCCTGCCTTGATCCAGGACCAAAGAAGACTCAGCCAGCGGTCCTCAGTGACTATAGACCTCCTGCCTTGATCCAGGACCAAAGAAGACTCAGCCAGCAGTCCTCAGTGACTATAGACCTCCTGCCTTGATCCAGGACCAAAGAAGACTCAGCCAGTGGTCCTCAGTGACTATAGACCTCCTGCCTTGTTCCAGGACCAAAGAAGACTCAGCCAGCGGTCTTCAGTGACTATAGACCTCCTGCCTTGATCCAGGACCAAAGAAGACTCAGCCAGTGGTCCTCAGTGACTATAGACCTCCTGCCTTGTTCCAGGACCAAAGAAGACTCAGCCAGCGGTCCTCAGTGACAATAGACCTCCTGCCTTGATCCAGGACCAAAGAAGACTCAGCCAGTGGTCCTCAGTGACTATAGACCTCCTGCCTTGTTCCAGGACCAAAGAAGACTCAGCCAGCGGTCCTCAGTGACAATAGACCTCCTGCCTTGATCCAGGACCAAAGAAGACTCAGCCAGTGGTCCTCAGTGACTATAGACCTCCTGCCTTGTTCCAGGACCAAAGAAGACTCAGCCAGCGGTCCTCAGTGACTATAGACCTCCTGCCTTGATCCAGGACCAAAGAAGACTCAGCCAGCAGTCCTCAGTGACTATAGACCTCCTACCTTGATCCAGGACCAAAGAAGACTCAGCCAGCAGTCCTCAGTGACTATAGACCTCCTGCCCTGTTCCATGACCAAAGAAGACTCAGCCAGCGGTCCTCAGTGACTATAGACCTCCTGCCTTGATCCAGGACCAAAGAAGACTCAGCCAGTGGTCCTCAGTGACTATAGACCTCCTGCCTTGTTCCAGGACCAAAGAAGACTCAGCCAGCGGTCCTCAGTGACAATAGACCTCCTGCCTTGATCCAGGACCAAAGAAGACTCAGCCAGTGGTCCTCAGTGACTATAGACCTCCTGCCTTGTTCCATGACCAAAGAAGACTCAGCCAGTGGTCCTCAGTGACTATAGACCTCCTGCCTTGATCCAGGACCAAAGAAGACTCAGCCAGTGGTCCTCAGTGACTATAGACCTCCTGCCTTGTTCCAGGACCAAAGAAGACTCAGCCAGCAGTCCTCAGTGACTATAGACCTCCTGCCTTGATCCAGGACCAAAGAAGACTCAGCCAGCGGTCCTCAGTGACTATAGACCTCCTGCCCTGTTCCATGACCAAAGAAGACTCAGCCAGCGGTCCTCAGTGACTATAGACCTCCTGCCTTGATCCAGGACCAAAGAAGACTCAGCCAGTGGTCCTCAGTGACTATAGACCTCCTGCCTTGTTCCATGACCAAAGAAGACTCAGCCAGTGGTCCTCAGTGACTATAGACCTCCTGCCTTGATCCAGGACCAAAGAAGACTCAGCCAGTGGTCCTCAGTGACTATAGACCTCCTGCCTTGATCCAGGACCAAAGAAGACTCAGCCAGCGGTCCTCAGTGACTATAGACCTCCTACCTTGATCCAGGACCAAAGAAGACTCAGCCAGCGGTCCTCAGTGACTATAGACCTCCTGCCTTGATCCAGGACCAAAGAAGACTCAGCCAGCAGTCCTCAGTGACTATAGACCTCCTACCTTGATCCAGGACCAAAGAAGACTCAGCCAGCAGTCCTCAGTGACTATAGACCTCCTGCCCTGTTCCATGACCAAAGAAGACTCAGCCAGCGGTCCTCAGTGACTATAGACCTCCTGCCTTGATCCAGGACCAAAGAAGACTCAGCCAGTGGTCCTCAGTGACTATAGACCTCCTGCCTTGTTCCAGGACCAAAGAAGACTCAGCCAGCGGTCCTCAGTGACAATAGACCTCCTGCCTTGATCCAGGACCAAAGAAGACTCAGCCAGTGGTCCTCAGTGACTATAGACCTCCTGCCTTGTTCCATGACCAAAGAAGACTCAGCCAGTGGTCCTCAGTGACTATAGACCTCCTGCCTTGATCCAGGACCAAAGAAGACTCAGCCAGTGGTCCTCAGTGACTATAGACCTCCTGCCTTGTTCCAGGACCAAAGAAGACTCAGCCAGCAGTCCTCAGTGACTATAGACCTCCTGCCTTGATCCAGGACCAAAGAAGACTCAGCCAGCGGTCCTCAGTGACTATAGACCTCCTGCCTTGTTCCATGACCAAAGAAGACTCAGCCAGCGGTCCTCAGTGACTATAGACCTCCTGCCTTGTTCCATGACCAAAGAAGACTCAGCCAGTGGTCCTCAGTGACTATAGACCTCCTGCCTTGTTCCATGACCAAAGAAGACTCAGCCAGTGGTCCTCAGTGACTATAGACCTCCTGCCTTGATCCAGGACCAAAGAAGACTCAGCCAGTGGTCCTCAGTGACTATAGACCTCCTGCCTTGATTCAGGACCAAAGAAGACTCAGCCAGTGGTCCTCAGTGACTATAGACCTCCTGCCTTGATCCAGGACCAAAGAAGACTCAGCCAGCAGTCCTCAGTGACTATAGACCTCCTGCCCTGTTCCATGACCAAAGAAGACTCAGCCAGCAGTCCTCAGTGACTATAGACCTCCTGCCTTGATCCAGGACCAAAGAAGACTCACCCAACAGTCCTCAGTGACTATAGACCTCCTGCCCTGATCCAGGACCAAAGAAGACTCAGCCAGCAGTCCTCAGTGACTATAGACCTCCTGCCCTGTTCCAGGACCAAAGAAGACTCAGCCAGTGGTCCTCAGTGACTATAGACCTCCTGCCTTGATCCAGGACCAAAGAAGACTCAGCCAGTGGTCCTCAGTGACTATAGACCTCCTGCCTTGATCCAGGACCAAAGAAGACTCAGCCAGTGGTCCTCAGTGACTATAGACCTCCTGCCTTGATCCAGGACCAAAGAAGACTCAGCCAGCAGTCCTCAGTGACTATAGACCTCCTGCCCTGTTCCATGACCAAAGAAGACTCAGCCAGCAGTCCTCAGTGACTATAGACCTCCTGCCTTGTTCCAGGACCAAAGAAGACTCAGCCAGCAGTCCTCAGTTACTATAGACCTCCTGCGTTGTTCCATGACCAAAGAAGACTCAGCCAGCAGTCCTCAGTGACTATAGACCTCCTGCCTTGATCCAGGACCAAAGAAGACTCAGCCAGCAGTCCTCAGTGACTATAGACCTCCTGCCTTGATCCAGGACCAAAGAAGACTCAGCCAGCAGTCCTCAGTGACTATAGACCTCCTGCCCTGTTCCAGGACCAAAGAAGACTCAGCCAGTGGTCCTCAGTGACTATAGACCTCCTGCCCTGATCCAGGACCAAAGAAGACTCAGCCAGCAGTCCTCAGTGACTATAGACCTCCTGCCTTGATCCAGGACCAAAGAAGACTCAGCCAGCAGTCCTCAGTGACTATAGACCTCCTGCCCTGTTCCAGGACCAAAGAAGACTCAGCCAGCAGTCCTCAGTGACTATAGACCTCCTGCCCTGTTCCAGGACCAAAGAAGACTCAGCCAGCAGTCCTCAGTGACTATAGACCTCCTGCCTTGTTCCAGGACCAAAGAAGACTCAGCCAGCAGTCCTCAGTGACTATAGACCTCCTGCCTTGTTCCAGGACCAAAGAAGACTCAGCCAGCAGCGGGGATGAAAATAACCCATAATGATCCGTTGCTGCGCGTTGAACTCTGACTAACTCTGATCTTCCAGCTGTGCAGAAATGCGTCTTTGCGCAGCTTAGCTCAGAGTCTGCGCTTTACGCTCCACTCTGATGGTTCGCTCTCAGCAGTACGGCTCTTCCTGCTCTCGCTACTTAATAAACTAGATGCGGCTGATCATCCTCTGCCAGGCGTAAAAAAATCCCTTTGTCCAACTATCAAGGTTTATTCCTTCCAGTTCACAAGAGGTGATAATAAACATTCTTTGATTTCTACCAAATCAAATATTTCATTGCTTTCTGTTTATTTTTGGATAAAGATCCAGATGGAAAGGTACATAGATCTATGAATATTTCCCTCTCATTGTATTTTTTTTTATATATATATCAAACTGTGAATTTAAATCTACTTTGACCCCTGAGCAGCAGGAACTGAGGGGGAAATTCTCAGAAATAAAGTAAAAATGAAAAAGTAGAAAGAATGTTTTTGTTCTTTGCTTTTTTTGCAGTAATGCAGATTTAATAGATCTGTGTTTAATGCAGAATTCATCGTAGATCAGGAAGTGTTTGCTTTGGAATGGAAACCTTGGATGTCTAAAATCATCCCTTCATTGGACATTTTGTCTGTCTGCTATATTAACCAATAGAATGTGTTCAACTAGATCTGCTATTTTCACAGCTTCTGTGAGACACTGTTTTATAAAGTAGGGAATTAATTCCTAAAAAAGTTTAAATGAATTTGATAAATCAAAGTTTTCTGTCCGACAGCCATGGGGGACTGTTTACCGAGAGGATGGCCAGCGGTAGGAGGAAGCCGATGGTGAAGCGGGTAGTAATTGACCGGATGTTCCCAGGATCTCATTGGGTAATGCTCGAAGCACACGGACCGGTTGCTCCGATCCCTGGTCACCTCCTTATGGTGAAAGAAAACCACACCCACTGCGATCTCTTTTATCCAGACGATGATGCTGACCATCCATGCAGCCTTCATGGAGCGAAGGGATGTAAACCTGAGAGGGGGTCATGGTTAGCAGAGTTCCTTCTGTACGACTGGAAGCTTCTCTAGTCTGAGGTTCTCCCTCCAAACCCACCTGAGCGGATGAACTACAGCCAGGTAGCGGTCCAGGCTGATGCAGCACAGGAAGCCGATGCTGATGTAAATGTTTTCATAGAGCAGGAAACCACACAGCTGACACAACCACTCTCTGTGGCGCCAGTCGTCATCCTGCGAACAGGAAGCGGTTATCAAGAAGAAAGATCATCAGAGAAAGTTCATCAGAACTTTACAACCAATTACCTGAAAGATGTACTGCAGCCAGAGCGGCAGAGACGCCTGGTAGAGCAGGTCCGACACGGTGAGGTTCAGCAGGTAGACCCCGAGCTCGTTCCTCTGCTTCAGCTGCAGAGCAGCGTGGTACAGGGCGTACAGGTTGGAGGGAACGCCAACCTCAAATCAACAGAATAATCTAGATTACCAGTTTGGAGTGTAATGACCTCCCAGTGGTTCCAGTGCTGTTTGACAGAGAAGAACCGCTTCCTATTAACCCAGAGGGAGAGCCTCCAGATAATAAGAGGCTGGCCCCAAAAAACGGAGAACGAGTGATTTAATCTGACTGATTGGGCAACTTCAGGACTACTACAATAATTAGCTGTGGATATTAGCATGCTATTGTTAGCGTTCCTTTAAGAGGCTCAGTCCACGCCTGGTACATTCAGACACTCATAGCTGTAAATATAAAGTCTGCTTATGCAGTGTTAGCATTAGCATGCTAACATTATTGTCATGGGGTACATGCGGGTTACCTAGCAATATTAGCACTAAAATGCTAACGTTAGATTACGCTACCTATCTATATTGAACTTACTTAAATGGCTGAATATACAGAAACTGTTTTTGCTTTGCATCATTTTCTGATCTTAGATCAGAAACTCGTGAATTCAGGAGATTCTTGGTGATCTGGGTTTTACTGGAAAACCAGTAGAAAAAAACTTGGAAACAGTGTTAAGCAGTGTTAACCAGTCTGAACCAGTGTTAAACAGTCTGAACAGTGTTAACCAGTCTGAAACCAGGTGTGAACCAGTCTGAACCAGTGTGAACAGTGTGAACCATGTGTTAACCAGTCTGAACCAGTGTTAACCTGTCCTGAACCAGGGAACCAGTCTGACCAGTTGTAACAAACAGTACTGAACCAGTGTTAACCAGTCTGAACAGTTGTGAACCAGTAGTGAAACCAGTAGTGAACCAGTGTGATCCAGGTTAACCAGTCTGAACAAGTGTTAACAGTTGACCAGATGTGAACAGTGGATGAAACCAGTCTGAACAGTGGAACCAGTGTGAACCAGTGTTAACCAGTCTGAACCAGTGTTAACCAGTCTGAACCAGTGTGAACCAGTCTGAACCAGTAGTGAACCTCGTGTGTAAACCAGTCTGAACCTGTGTGAATCAGTGTGAACCAGTTCTGTTAACCTGTCTGAACCAGTGTTAAACCCAGTCTGAACCAGTGTGAACAGTCTGAACAGTGTGAACCAGTCTTGAACCAGTGGTTAAACAGTCTGAACCGTGTTAAAACCGTCTGAACAGTGTGACAAACAGTCTGAACCAGTGTGAACCCAGGTGAGACCAGTTTGTTTTAACCAGTCTGAACCCAGTGGTTAACCAGTCTGAACCAGTGTGAACCAGTGTGAACCTGTCCTGAAACATGTGAACCAGTGTGAACCAGTGTTAACCAGTCTGAACCAGTGTTAACAGTCTGAAAACCAGTGCTTAACCTGTATGAACCAGTGTTAACCAGTATTCTGAACCAGTGTGAACCAGTCTGAAACCAGTGTGAACCAGTTGTGACCAGTGATGCAGCAGCCCTCTGTTGCTTGGTGGCTTCTGCAATAACTGGGGTCTGTTTCTCTCTTAGCCGCTGATATTAAAAACCCACGTACCACCAAACACAGGATGTAGACGCATGAGAAGGCGTTACTGGTGAATCTTCATGGCTGATGTGCAGTTGATCACCTCCTTCTTCATACATCTTAGACGCCACCATGTTCACACGTTCACACCATATCATCCTATAGTTCCATGATCCTCATGCAGGATGGAGAAGTCAGCTTAATAGGTTCTGTGAAGACAGGAGGTTTGGATTAGAACAGATTAGGGTGGTTTTTAAGGTAGGAAGTCCACAGAGATGGGAGCGTTCCCATCAGACCTAAAAAAAACAAAAATGACGAATGACACAAAACTAATATGGGTGGAGTTAACTTTGATGTAATAACGGAAACTCAGGGGCCAATGTAAGAAAACGGTGATTTCCCCTAAAGCCGCCAGTTTTCATACGCTTGAATATTTGTTCTAGTAAAGAATGCTCAAAGAAACACAGATTTATTTTTTATCTTTAGCTTTGAGGTGATGATTGGTTCTGACCTTTTGAAATATTCTAATCCTTTGGATATTACCTTCTTCCTCAATCCTCAGCAGTGTGATGAGCCTAAGTTCTAGTCTGGTCTATCGGTTGAACTGAATCTTATCTTTTCTGCGCACAGGAAGTGGTGGGAATTACCATGCAACGAGTGAGTCAGGTTTTTGTTTGTATTTCAGTGATCTCAGAAAATCTGGTTCCTAAAGGTGTGAGAAGGTTTCAGATCCGGCAGGTGATGTGGTCTGGTGAAAACCCAGGGGTATGATGACCCTACAGATGATCTTTTAATCCAGATCAGAACCCTGAGGGGGAAGTGAAGGCTAATCAGCCTAATGAGCCAAAGTCGCGATTAAGAGCAGAGGGTAATTAGAACCTGACCTGGACAGGACGCATCAAACTGCCTGGATCAGATTATCAATAATAATCAGCAGAAGGACATTTCAGCCAGGAATTTACTGACCTTTAGCCTCAGCTTTATTAATGGGCCAGAGAACCATCTAGAATCACACTTAGTTAGTCACCATGTCAAACCAGGTTACTATGAGGTTCCTACGCAACCACTGGTCTGGGCTGGTGTCTATGAGCGCTGGCTGGAGGGACGAGGAAGGAGGTCAAATCCAAAAAGCCGCCCTGGTTCCGCCTGGTCCCTCCAGGGTGATGTAGACCTTAGTAACCCCAGTCAACAACAAAAAAAAAAAACAAAACAAAACAAAATAACAAAAAGATAGGAATATATATAAATATATATATATATATATACAGAAGCTATATAGAACAGTAGGACTGTGCGTTAATGGTAACACAGAAATCCTGAATGGGGGGAGAAGAAAACATGTCAGTGTCACGGGCGGCTCTTGGCCTTGTAGATAAGGTCGATAGCAGATGGGAAAAAAAAAAAACTGTTTTGTGACGGGAGTTCTCGGACGGTTCTGGTCCTGATGGACAGCAGATCCTGCCAGAGGGTAGTGGCTGAAATAATCTGTGACCGGGGTGCGATGGGGATCAGCCACATCTTCCCTGCACGCCTCAGTCCTGGAGGCGGTGCGCTCCTGGAGAGATGGGAGGTTGCAGCCAATCACCTTCTCTGTGACGGATGACCGCTGCAGTCTGCTCTTGTCCTTGGCGGTGGCTCCAGACGTACCAGATGGTGATGGAGGAGGGTGTGAGGAGGACTCAATGGATGGAGGAGTAGAACTGCACCATCATTGTCTGGGCAGGTTGAATTTCTTCAGCTGCCGCAGGGAAATGTACATCCTCTGCTGGGCTTTCTCTTGGTGAGGGAGTCGATGTTCAGCTCCCACTTTAGGTCCTGGGAGATGATAGTTCCCAGGAAGCGGAAAGACTCCACGTTGTCAATGGTGGAGTCACGAGGGGGATGGGGGTGGTAGCTGAGGCTGCGCTCTTTCTAAAGTCCACAACATCTCCCACTGTTTTTAGAGCGTTGAGCCTCCAGGTTGTTCTCCCTGCCACCAGGTCACAGGTTGGTCAGCCTCCCCACCTGTAGGCGGACTCGTCACCATCTGAGATAGACGATGATGTTGATGATGGTAATGGTGATGGATGATGATGGTAGGTGATGATGATTCATAATGGTAATGATGTGGTGGAAGTAATGGTAATAATGGTGGTGATGGATGATGATGATGATGATGATGATAATGGTGATAATGATGATGGTAGATGGTTATGATGGTTGTTGATGGTGATGTGGTGTAGTGATGATGATGATGATAATGGTGATAATGATGATGGTATGGTTATGATGGTTGTGTGATGGTTGATGATGGTGGTGATGATGATCATAATGGTAATGATGTGGTGGAAAGTGATGGTAATAATGATGGTTGATGATGATGATGATAGTTAATGGTGATAATGAATGATGGTGATGATGATGATGATATGGTGATAATGTGTGGTAATGGTTATGATGGTGTGAGGTTATGTTGGGTGTTGAGTGTAGAGATAGGTTGATGATGGTAGTGATGGTGTTGATGGTGGTGTGATGATCATAAATGGTAATGTTGTGGTGGAAGTAATGGTAATAATGATGAGTGATGATGATGATGATGATAATGTGATAATGATGATGGTAATGGTTATGATGGTTGTGATGGTGATGATGGTGGTGATGATGATGGATGGATAATGGTGATAATGATGGATGGTAATGGTTATGATGGTTGTGATGGTGATGATGGTAGTTGACTGGTGATGATGGTGGTGATGATGATCATAATGGTAATGATGTGGTGGAAGTAAGTGGTAATAATGATGGTGATCATGAGGATGATGTAATGGTGAATAATGATGATGGTAATGGTTTATGATGGTTGTGATAGGTGGATGATGGTGGTGGTGATGCTGATGATAATGGTGGATGGTATATGGTTATAATGGTGGTGATGGTGATGATGATGATGATGGTATGATCATAATGGTAGCGTAGATGGTGATGATGATGATAATGGTGATAATGTGATGTAATGGGTTATGTTGGTTTGTGGATGGTGATGATGTGATGATGATTGATGATGATTAAAATGGTGATAATGATGATGTAATGGTTTATGATGGTTGTGATGGGTGATGGTGGTGATGATGATGATGATGATAATGGGTGATAATGATGATGGTAATTGTAATATTGGAGATGATGGTGATGATGATGATGATGGTAATGATCATAATGGTAATGATGTGGTGGAGAGTAAATGGTAATAATGATGGTGATGTTGATTGCTGATGATTAATGGTGATAATGATGCTGGTAATGGTAATAATGGTGGTGATGGTGATGATGATGATGATGATAATGGTGATAAAATATGAGGTAATGGTTATGATGGTTGTGATGGTTATGATGGTTGTGGATTGGTAATAATGATAAACTGACGGTTGACGATGGTGACCGTGTTGAGCGGATGGGTCTCTATCAGAAATGAGGGTTAATAACAGTGATGAGCGTCTGGCACTAATGGCCGTTTTAGGCCGAACAGGGTAAATAGCCCGGCTGGTTAACTAATGACGCGACCGATCGATGCCGGGCTCCAGGGGGGCTGCTGGAAAAATGCTGCTGTAACCAATGGCAACTGGAGCCAGCTGTAAATCAGTCGCCCCCGTGTGAGATCCATCACCTCACCAGTCAGTGTCTTCCATTTGCTCCCTTATTCAGAGGGTCCTGATTCAGCAGTGTGACGTGTTGGGCGTGCTGCAGAGAGGCCGCAGTTTGGACTGCTGGAGGAGGAGGAGCTAAACTGGTTCTTGATCCGATGTTCCTTCAGACCTGGATAGTAGACAGCAGTAGGACTGTAACCCATGTTTGAGTCAACGCTGGTAGAACCCAACATTTTCCCTGATGGTCTAGGATCCGATGATGAGGCCCCACGTCGTCAGGTTTGATGTAATTTGGGTCAGAGATGGCACACCATGAACCTTCCTTCGTATCAGGTTAAGGTTACCCCTTCTCACCTGGTCTAGAACCTTCCAGTACCCAGAACCGTCCATCAGGGTAAAAGACTTTTCAGAAAACATCTTCCACCATGGACCGGACCATCATACCATCTCCAGCAGGGATGATTACCGGTGCTGTACCCGACCCGACCGGTATTGCCTTACAGAACGTTTCTTGGTTCTCTGCCATAGTTGTCTGGAGGAATCTTTGACACATTGGAGCTTTCCAACATTTCTGGGCGTCAGGAACTCCGGCTTCAGTCCAGAACAATCCAACCAGAAGCGGCGCTGTTCACCGTCCTCTCTGGCTCCGGGTCCAAACGTCCAGCCCTGCTGCAGTGCGTCAACCCGGAAACATCCGGTATCTACTTAACCTGCCGGTTCCCGCACTTCACCGGGTACCGCCTTCAACTGCCGGTTCCTGCTTCACCTGGTTACCGCCTTCACCTGCCGGTTCCCGCCATTCCACCTGCCGGTTCCGCCTTCACTGCCGGTTCCCGCCCGCTTCACCTGCCTGGTTCCTGCCTTCACCTGGTACGACTTCAGCTGCCTGGTTCCGCAATTCACCTGCCGGGTCCCGGCCTTCACCTGCCGGGTTCCTGCCTTCACTGGTTACCGCCTTAACCTGCCGGTTCACGCATCACCTGGCGGTTCCCGCATTCACTGCTGGTTCCGCCTTCACCTGCGGTTCCCGCCTTCACCTGCCGGTTCCCGACTTCACCTGCCGGTTCCACCGCCTTCACCTGGTTACCGCTTCACCTGCGGTTTCCCGCCTTCACTGCCGGTTCCGCCTTCACCTGCCGGTTTCCCGCCTTCACCTGGTTCCCGCCTTCACCTGCCGGGTATATGCCTCACCTGCCGGTTCCCGACCTTCACCTGCCGGTATCCTTGCCTTACACCGCTCAATAAGCAGCCATTATTGTTCATGTTTGCTTTGCTTTGTTGAATAAAGGTTTGTTTGGACCCGTGGTAACATCAAGGTGTTTTTCTTTAATCAGGTAAATGGAAAGAAGAGAAAACATTCAGCTCTAATATATTAAATATCTGTGATCGGGCAGCTCAGATTTTATTTAGTCCAGATTGAATAATCCACCAATCATTATTCTGACTAGCTTATAGCATTATTAGAGTCGCTGATGTTTTTGTTGTGATAATTCCACAGAAAGTCCTGCATGATCATCGCTGCTCGTCTCTACCTGTGCGAACGCTGGGTCCATGCCTTCAGAATGCTCACAGAACCACGGACAGTTCCACACACTATGATTAGGATCCAGATCACAGCGGACCTATCGAACAGGTGGAAAGCTGTGGGATCAGGTGGAAACGAGGTGGGAAAGCTGTGGGACAGGTGGAATGTGTGGACAGGTGGAAGCTGTGGGACAGGTGGAAAGCTTGTGGGTCAGGTTTGGGAACGGGTGGAAAGCTGTGGGAAGGTGGAAAAGCTGTGGGCAGGTGAACGGGTGGAAAGTGTGGGACAGGTGGAGGAAAGCTGTGGGACGGGTGTGGAAAGCTGTGGGAACAGGTGAAAGCTGTGGGAAGGTGGCAGCTGTGGGGACAGGTTGGAAAGCTGTGGGACAGGGGGAACGGTGGAAAGCTGTGCGACAGGTGAAAGCTGTGGGACAGGTGGAAAGCTGTGGGACAGGTGGATAGCTGTGGGACAGGTGGAAAGCTGTGAGACAGGTGGGACAGGTGGAAAGCTGTGGGACAGGTGGAACGGGTGGAAAGTTGTGGGACAGGTGGAAAGCTGTGGGACAGGTGGAAAGCTGTGGGACAGGTGGAAAGCTGTGGGACAGGTGGAAAGCTGTGGGACAGGTGGAACGGGTGGAAAGCTGTGGGACAGGTGGAAAGCTGTGGGACAGGTGGAACGGGTGGAAAGCTGTGGGACAGGTGGAAAGCTGTGGGACGGGTGGAAAGCTGTGGGACAGGTGGAAAGCTGTGGGACAGGTGGAAAGCTGTGGGACAGGTGGAAAGCTGTGGGACAGGTGGAAAGCTGTGGGACAGGTGGAAAGCTGTGGGACAGGTGGAAAGCTGTGGGACAGGTGGAACGGGTGGAAAGCTGTGGGACAGGTGGAACGGGTGGAAAGCTGTGGGACAGGTGGAACGGGTGGAAAGCTGTGGGACAGGTGGAACGGGTGGAAAGCTGTGGGACAGGTGGAACGGGTGGAAAGCTGTGGGACAGGTGGAACGGGTGGAAAGCTGTGGGACAGGTGGGACAGGTGGAAAGCTGTGAGACAGGTGGAACGGGTGGAAAGCTGTGAGACAGGTGGGACATGTGGAAAGCTGTGGGACAGGTGGAACGGGTGGAAAGCTGTGGGACAGGTGGGACAGGTGGAAAGCTGTGGGACAGGTGGAACGGGTGGAAAGCTGTGGGACAGGTGGGACAGGTGGAAAGCTGTGAGACAGGTGGGACAGGTGGAAAGCTGTGGGACAGGTGGAAAGCTGTGGGACAGGTGGGACAGGTGGAAAGCTGTGGGACGGGTGGAACGGGTGGAAAGCTGTGGGACAGGTGGAACGGGTGGAAAGCTGTGGGACAGGTGGAAAGCTGTGGGACAGGTGGAAAGCTGTGGGACAGGTGGGACAGGTGGAAAGCTGTGGGACGGGTGGAACGGGTGGAAAGCTGTGGGACAGGTGGGACAGGTGGAAAGCTGTGGGACAGGTGGAACGGGTGGAAAGCTGTGGGACAGGTGGAACGGGTGGAAAGCTGTGGGACAGGTGGGACAGGTGGAAAGCTGTGAGACAGGTGGAACGGGTGGAAAGCTGTGGGACAGGTGGAAAGCTGTGGGACAGGTGGGACAGGTGGAAAGCTGTGGGACGGGTGGAACGGGTGGAAAGCTGTGGGACAGGTGGAAAGCTGTGGGACAGGTGGAACAGGTGGAAAGCTGTGGGACAGGTGGAAAGCTGTGGGACAGGTGGGACAGGTGGAAAGCTGTGGGACAGGTGGAACGGGTGGAAAGCTGTGAGACAGGTGGAACGGGTGGAAAGCTGTGGGACAGGTGGGACAGGTGGAAAGCTGTGGGACAGGTGGAAAGCTGTGGGACAGGTGGAAAGCTGTGGGACAGGTGGGACAGGTGGAACGGGTGGAAAGCTGTGGGACAGGTGGGACAGGTGGAAAGCTGTGGGACAGGTGGAACGGGTGGAAAGTTGTGGGACAGGTGGGACAGGTGGAAAGCTGTGGGACAGGTGGAACGGGTGGAAAGCTGTGAGACAGGTGGAACGGGTGGAAAGCTGTGGGACAGGTGGGACAGGTGGAAAGCTGTGGGACAGGTGGAAAGCTGTGGGACAGGTGGAAAGCTGTGGGACAGGTGGGACAGGTGGAACGGGTGGAAAGCTGTGGGACAGGTGGGACAGGTGGAAAGCTGTGGGACAGGTGGAACGGGTGGAAAGTTGTGGGACAGGTGGGACAGGTGGAAAGCTGTGGGACAGGTGGAAAGCTGTGGGACAGGTGGGACAGGTGGAAAGCTGTGGGACAGGTGGAAAGCTGTGGGACAGGTGGAAAGCTGTGGGACAGGTGGGACAGGTGGAAAGCTGTGGGACAGGTGGAACGGGTGGAAAGCTGTGGGACAGGTGGGACAGGTGGAAAGCTGTGGGACAGGTGGAACGGGTGGAAAGCTGTGGGACAGGTGGGACAGGTGAAAGCTGTGGGACAGGTGGAAAGCTGTGGGACAGGTGGGACAGGTGGAAAGCTGTGGGACAGGTGGAAAGCTGTGGGACAGGTGGGACAGGTGGAAAGCTGTGGGACAGGTGGAAAGCTGTGGGACAGGTGGGACAGGTGGGACAGGTGGAACGGGTGGAAAGTTGTGGGACAGGTGGGACAGGTGGAAAGCTGTGGGACAGGTGGAACGGGTGGAAAGCTGTGGGACAGGTGGGACAGGTGGAAAGCTGTGGGACAGGTGGAAAGCTGTGGGACAGGTGGAAAGCTGTGGGACAGGTGGAACGGGTGGAAAGCTGTGGGACAGGTGGGACAGGTGGGACAGGTGGAAAGCTGTGGGACAGGTGGAAAGCTGTGAGACAGGTGAGACAGGTGGAAAGCTGTGGGACAGGTGGAAAGCTGTGAGACAGGTGGAAAGCTGTGGGACAGGTGGAAAGCTGTGGGACAGGTGGAACGGGTGGAAAGCTGTGGGACAGGTGGGACAGGTGGGACAGGTGGAAAGCTGTGGGACAGGTGGAAAGCTGTGAGACAGGTGAGACAGGTGGAAAGCTGTGGGACAGGTGGAAAGCTGTGGGACAGGTGGAAAGCTGTGAGACAGGTGAGACGGGTGGAAAGTTGTGGGACAGGTGGAAAGCTGTGAGACAGGTGAGACAGGTGGAAAGCTGTGGGACAGGTGGGACAGGTGGAAAGCTGTGGGACAGGTGGAAAGCTGTGAGACAGGTGGGACAGGTGGAAAGCTGTGGGACAGGTGGAACGGGTGGAAAGTTGTGGGACAGGTGGGACAGGTGGAACGCTGTGGGACAGGTGGAAAGCTGTGAGACAGGTGGAAAGCTGTGAGACAGGTGGGACAGGTGGAAAGCTGTGGGACAGGTGGAAAGCTGTGGGACAGGTGGGACAGGTGGAAAGCTGTGGGACAGGTGGAAAGCTGTGAGACAGGTGGGACAGGTGGAAAGCTGTGGGACAGGTGGAACGGGTGGAAAGTTGTGGGACAGGTGGGACAGGTGGAACGCTGTGGGACAGGTGGAAAGCTGTGAGACAGGTGGAAAGCTGTGAGACAGGTGGGACAGGTGGAAAGCTGTGGGACAGGTGGAAAGCTGTGGGACAGGTGGAAAGCTGTGGGACAGGTGGGACAGGTGGAAAGCTGTGGGACAGGTGGAAAGCTGTGGGACAGGTGGGACAGGTGGAAAGCTGTGGGACAGGTGGAACGGGTGGAAAGTTGTGGGACAGGTGGAAAGCTGTGGGACAGGTGGAAAGCTGTGGGACAGGTGAGACGGGTGGAAAGTTGTGGGACAGGTGGAAAGCTGTGAGACAGGTGGAAAGCTGTGGGACAGGTGGAAAGCTGTGAGACAGGTGGAAAGCTGTGGGACAGGTGGAAAGCTGTGGGACAGGTGGAAAGCTGTGGGACAGGTGGAAAGCTGTGGGAAAGGTGGAAAGCTGTGAGACAGGTGGAACGGGTGGAAAGTTGTGGGACAGGTGGAAAGCTGTGGGACAGGTGGAACGGGTGGAAAGCTGTGGGACAGGTGGGACAGGTGGGACAGGTGGAAAGCTGTGGGACAGGTGGGACAGGTGGAAAGCTGTGGGACAGGTGGAAAGCTGTGAGACAGGTGAGACGGGTGGAAAGTTGTGGGACAGGTGGAAAGCTGTGAGACAGGTGAGACAGGTGGAAAGCTGTGGGACAGGTGGAAAGCTGTGGGACAGGTGGGACAGGTGGAAAGCTGTGAGACAGGTGGGACAGGTGGAAAGCTGTGGGACAGGTGGAACGGGTGGAAAGTTGTGGGACAGGTGGGACAGGTGGAACGCTGTGGGACAGGTGGAAAGCTGTGAGACAGGTGGAAAGCTGTGAGACAGGTGGGACAGGTGGAAAGCTGTGAGACAGGTGGGACAGGTGGAAAGCTGTGAGACAGGTGGGACAGGTGGAAAGCTGTGGGACAGGTGGGACAGGTGGAAAGCTGTGGGACAGGTGGAAAGCTGTGAGACAGGTGAGACGGGTGGAAAGTTGTGGGACAGGTGGAAAGCTGTGAGACAGGTGAGACAGGTGGAAAGCTGTGGGACAGGTGGAAAGCTGTGGGACAGGTGGGACAGGTGGAAAGCTGTGAGACAGGTGGGACAGGTGGAAAGCTGTGGGACAGGTGGAACGGGTGGAAAGTTGTGGGACAGGTGGGACAGGTGGAACGCTGTGGGACAGGTGGAAAGCTGTGAGACAGGTGGAAAGCTGTGAGACAGGTGGGACAGGTGGAAAGCTGTGGGACAGGTGGAAAGCTGTGGGACAGGTGGAAAGCTGTGGGACAGGTGGGACAGGTGGAAAGTTGTGGGACAGGTGGAAAGCTGTGGGACAGGTGGAAAGCTGTGAGACAGGTGGGACAGGTGGAAAGCTGTGGGACAGGTGGAACGGGTGGAAAGTTGTGGGACAGGTGGAAAGCTGTGGGACAGGTGGAAAGCTGTGGGACAGGTGGAAAGCTGTGGGACAGGTGGAAAGCTGTGGGAAAGGTGGAAAGCTGTGAGACAGGTGGAACGGGTGGAAAGTTGTGGGACAGGTGGAAAGCTGTGGAACAGATGGAAAGCTGTGGGACAGGTGGAAAGCTGTGAGACAGGTGGAACGGGTGGAAAGCTGTGGGACAGGTGGAAAGCTGTGAGACAGGTGGAACGGGTGGAAAGCTGTGGGACAGGTGGAACGGGTGGAAAGCTGTGAGACAGGTGGAACGGGTGGAAAGTTGTGGGACAGGTGGAAAGCTGTGGGACAGGTGGAAAGCTGTGAGACAGGTGGAACGGGTGGAAAGCTGTGGGACAGGTGGAACGGGTGGAAAGCTGTGAGACAGGTGGAACGGGTGGAAAGCTGTGGAACAGATGGAAAGCTGTGGGACAGGTGGAAAGCTGTGAGACAGGTGGAACGGGTGGAAAGCTGTGGGACAGGTGGAAAGCTGTGGGAAAGGTGGAAAGCTGTGAGACAGGTGGAACGGGTGGAAAGTTGTGGGACAGGTGGAAAGCTGTGGGACAGGTGGAAAGCTGTGGGACAGGTGGAAAGCTGTGAGACAGGTGGAACGGGTGGAAAGCTGTGGGACAGGTGGAAAGCTGTTGGACAGGTGGAAAGCTGTGGGACAGGTGGAAAGCTGTGAGACAGGTGGAACGGGTGGAAAGCTGTGGGACAGGTGGAAAGCTGTGAGACAGGTGGAACGGGTGGAAAGCTGTGGGACAGGTGGAAAGCTGTGGGAAAGGTGGAAAGCTGTGGGACAGGTGGAACGGGTGGAAAGCTGTGAGACAGGTGGAACGGGTGGAAAGTTGTGGGACAGGTGGAAAGCTGTGGGACAGGTGGAAAGCTGTGAGACAGGTGGAACGGGTGGAAAGCTGTGGGACAGGTGGAACGGGTGGAAAGCTGTGAGACAGGTGGAACGGGTGGAAAGCTGTGGAACAGATGGAAAGCTGTGGGACAGGTGGAAAGCTGTGAGACAGGTGGAACGGGTGGAAAGCTGTGGGACAGGTGGAAAGCTGTGGGAAAGGTGGAAAGCTGTGAGACAGGTGGAACGGGTGGAAAGTTGTGGGACAGGTGGAAAGCTGTGGGACAGGTGGAAAGCTGTGGGACAGGTGGAAAGCTGTGAGACAGGTGGAACGGGTGGAAAGCTGTGGGACAGGTGGAAAGCTGTGGGACAGGTGGAAAGCTGTGGGACAGGTGGAAAGCTGTGAGACAGGTGGAACGGGTGGAAAGCTGTGGGACAGGTGGAAAGCTGTGAGACAGGTGGAACGGGTGGAAAGCTGTGGGACAGGTGGAAAGCTGTGGGAAAGGTGGAAAGCTGTGGGACAGGTGGAACGGGTGGAAAGCTGTGGGACAGGTGGAAAGCTGTGAGACAGGTGGAACGGGTGGAAAGCTGTGGGACAGGTGGAAAGCTGTGGGAAAGGTGGAAAGCTGTGAGACAGGTGGAACGGGTGGAAAGTTGTGGGACAGGTGGAAAGCTGTGGGACAGGTGGAAAGCTGTGGGACAGGTGGAAAGCTGTGAGACAGGTGGAACGGGTGGAAAGCTGTGGGACAGGTGGAAAGCTGTGAGACAGGTGGAACGGGTGGAAAGCTGTGGGACAGGTGGAAAGCTGTGGGAAAGGTGGAAAGCTGTGGGACAGGTGGAAAGCTGTGAGACAGGTGGAACGGGTGGAAAGCTGTGGGACAGGTGGAAAGCTGTGGGAAAGGTGGAAAGCTGTGGGAAAGGTGGAAAGCTGTGAGACAGGTGGAAAGCTGTGAGACAGGTGGAACGGGTGGAAAGCTGTGGGACAGGTGGAAAGCTGTGGGAAAGGTGGAAAGCTGTGAGACAGGTGGAACGGGTGGAAAGTTGTGGGACAGGTGGAAAGCTGTGGAACAGATGGAAAGCTGTGAGACAGGTGGAACGGGTGGAAAGCTGTGGGACAGGTGGAAAGCTGTGAGACAGGTGGAACGGGTGGAAAGCTGTGGGACAGGTGGAAAGCTGTGGGACAGGTGGAAAGATGTGGGACAGGTGGAAAGCTGTGGGACAGGTGGAAAGCTGTGGGACAGGTGGAAAGCTGTGAGACAGGTGGAAAGTTGTGGGACAGGTGGAAAGCTGTGGGACAGGTGGAAAGCTGTTTCAGGTATTGATCATGGACTCCCGGTCCGTACTGCTGCTCTGGAGCGCATAGCTTTGGACATTGCGGTCCTCTGGGTCTCTCTAGTTCTGGTTCTGATGTGAATCTGAACAGAACCTTCTGCTTCCAAAACTGAGTGATCCTGAGTGTCAGCCGTAAATAAATCCCATCAGGTCTCTAAATGACTTTAATGAATCTATGAAAGCAAAGACTTTAACCACAGAGACTGAATGTGATCTAGAGCTATAGACTCAGATCTGCATGTCAACAGATCTGCCTAGACGGATTCCAGCAAGTTAAAAGCTGAGGAAAATGACCCGTCACTCATTCAATGATGTCATTCTCAGTTCAGAAATGTGTATTTTAGTCGATCTGTAATCGTTTAATCATGAATCAGCGATCGAGCTCATGGTCTGAAATGAAATGATCTGGTTCACTGAGACCTGGCTCCAGAAAGCAGCCCACTGCAGACTGGACATTCCGTTCTATCAATGCACTCATATTTTAACATCACTACCAACACGCGTCAACTCAGGTCACTTCATAGATCCAGATCACTCAGATCATCCGGTCATTTTCTATCTGAGGAAAACCAGCCGGACATCAATCCCACCCCCACTTAGAATTCCAGTTTCACTTCCTGGACTCCTCGGACGCCGAGCGGATCTGGCTTTGGCTTCTGTGTCCTGCAGCACAAAGAGCTTCTGCTCTGCATCCAACCCTAACCCAGAATCTGGGCCTGGACCCAACAGCAGCCTGCGCTCTGAATCCAAATGGGTTCTGAGGTCAGACCAGTTAACCCTGAGATGAAGACTGAGCCCAGGAGAATCCAGCTGGATTTAAAGCAGAACCAGGTCTGCCCTAGAGGTGAACGGAGGCAGCAGACTCCAGAACCTTTCTGCAGATTCTGCTCGTCCAATTTTGGAAACGCTTCTGATCCAGGATCATTAAACCGGTTCAAACCAGGATCCCAGGACAGAACGACTGAAAGGAGGACAGGAGAACCGGGAGACACGGTTTGGGTCCAAAACTAGATGGAGCTGCATGAGGGACATGTCCCCAGGGACACGTCTTCACATCCTCCTCCCCAGGAAGCTTTTAGCCTCCTTAGGGTCCCGGTTTGCTGGGTCTCTAACTTCCTCTGTTCTCTGGTTCTGGTGAAGCTGAACCACAGGAAGCCCCTAACCGCCACCAGGGCAGAGCTTGCTCACGTTTGGCAGCAGGTTTGGCAGCAGTGCAAACCTCGCTCAGTGAACAAGTTCTGAAAGGTTCTGCAGCTCATCAGAACCCATCTGGATTCTCCAGAACCGAGTCATAAAGTCCCGGTTCCGATCCATTTTTACACCAAGCTAACGGTTCTGGAGTCAGCCTCGAACCTCCACATCACCATGACAACAGCCCTCAGCTACTCCTACCTGGAGCTGGAGGTCCACCTGCCGCGCAGACCTTCCTGGTTCCGAACTGCAGCTTCAATCCGAAACTGATCCAGAAACCCGAACTGGTTCCGAACTTCTTCTCAAACTTGCTCTGAGCAGAGAGGAGTTTCTCCCGCGTGGTTCCGCTCCGGCGGTCCTCAGACTGACAGCGCGCGCTGAGCGCCTGCCGACCGCAGAGCGCGCGCACGCTTCAAACACACGGAACTCTGCCGCAGGGGGCGCGCGCGCGCAGCCCGAGTCCGGCTGGGAGGAAGATGTCTGCAGATTGGACCGGTTCGGAGCGTCCGGAACCACAGCTATGGATTCCCGGGATAGAACCGAGCAGCAGCGGCTCCAACCCGCGCGGCAGCTGTTTCCGGTTCTGTCCTCAAACGGTCCTCTCTGCCGAACCTGAACAGAACCAGGAGCTCCAACCAGACTACCTGGCAAACCCAGATGACTTCCAGAACCGGAACCAGGCTAAAATCTGTTCAGGTTCATGAAAGCAGAACTTCTGATGAGCAGAACCGGAACAGAACTGAGGTCCAATAATCGTCTAACGATGGTTCTGGAAGTCAGAGAATCTACAACAGTTTGGCTCCAGAACCACCGACCCAATTCATAACACCTCCTCCACCGTGCAGGGAGCAGCTGTTTGGGTCTGTCTAGATGCGGTTCTGGTCCAACATCTAGTCGGTTCCAGAACCTCATTCCGCTTCGCCAAGTTCTGCTGCCATCTGGTTCCTAGAGAGGTTCTGGTCCGGTCCACTGGACCCGGAGCCAGGCAGGAATGTTCCACCTAGACGGTACCACTGAGACTCGGTCCAAATCAGGAGCAGAAACAGTTTAAATTCATAGATCTTTATTTCTACCAAGTTTGAACAGAACCGCAGGTCCGATTCAGCAGTAGTGACATCACAGCAGCAGCAGAACCGACACCAACGCCACCTCAGCTACCAGGTTCTCTAAAGGCATCGGACCGGACCGGCGCCGGGTCCCGTCCGGACCGGACCGGCGCCGGGTCCAATATTTACTGAAAATGTACAAAAGTTACAGGAAATAATTTACAGGTTTGCAGGCTGTTCTTCATCATCATCATCATCATCTGAGTTCCTCTGGTTCCGGTCTTCGATCAGAACCTTCCAGGTTTTCCAGCTTTCAGAAACAGAACCAGGAAACGGGCCATAATGCATGGGGGGGTGGTCCGTTGGCCGGTTCTGATGGACCCTCAGAACAGGACCGTGGTTCTGGGTCAGACTGCAGGTTCTGCGGAGGCCGACCCGCTTCCTGCCGTGATGAAAATAGAAACGCATCGTTTCCTCCTTCCAGAACCACAGCCGGGTTCTGTTGAGCTGGACCTCCTCCGGCGCCGGGCCCAAACACCGTGGTTTCCTCAGTGGTTTTGGGTTGGAGCGAGCGGCGCTGGCCGGGCTTCCCGTAAAGTGATGCATGCTGGGTAGGAGCTAAAGATGGAGGAGGAAGCCTGTAATTTGGGCTGGGCGCCGTCCGTCCAGCTATTTATTCTTCCAGTGTTTGTTCCCATGGAGACGTGTTCAGGCCGGGTTCTGGAGAACCCTCTCAGTGGCGGATCAGAACCAAAGCCTGACAGTGAAGGTTTCTGTAGAACCGAGCCGACCGGCGCCGGTCCGATCAGACCGTGTTCCTGTTCCAGCGCTTAGACCGGCCCGCCCTGCGTTTAGACGCAGCCGTACTCGTACCACACGGTCTGCGGGTCGCTGTTGGGGTCCGGAGAGGACGGCGTGCTCTTGGACCCGCTCTGGACTCGGTCGCCATCTTTGCTGGAGTCTGGTTCTCCAGGCCGCTCGCCCCCCTGGACCTCCACTTCCTGTGACGCTTCATGGGGCTGCGTGGCCCTGACCGGCGTCACCATGGCGACCTCTCCACGGTGGCCATTCCTGCAGACGGCCGCACGCCCCCTGTCCCGCTCACGCTCCGCCCACCTCTCCGTCTGCAGGTTCAGGGACGCCGAATGCTGGACAGTGGGACTCAGGAAGTCCGGAGGTCCAAAGCGGGCAGAGAGGGGCCGCTGTCGCTGGGCGCCGCCGCCGCCTCCTTGGCGACGGACCACTCCGTCTGCGTCGTAGCTGTCGGGTCCCTGGGAGCACAGCAGGTCAGCGGAGGCCAGGCTGAAGGCTCTGCTCAGCGATTGGCCGCTTCGCTGGGGGAGAGTTTGGTTCGAGGCCGGCGATTGGCCGACCGGCTGTCGAGGGGACGGCTTCACGCTCTGACCGGGCCTCTGATTGGATGAGTGGATGGTAGGGGGGACGTAGCTGGTGGGAGTCCCATGGTCCCTGGATGAGGGGGCGGGGCTTCTGGTGAAGTAATCTGTGATGAGGTCATCTGTGCTTCCTGCTGACAGCTGATGAAGAGGCGCATTCATTGGTTAATTAGCTCCTTAATAACATTAATATTAAACTGGGGGGGGTCTCACCAGCGGGGGGGACAGCAGGTTGCTCTCCTGAAGGAACTCCTCCAGCGTCACCATCTCACTTCCTGGGGAACCTGGGCGTGGCTTAACCCTGGCTCCGCCGCCTCGTTGCGGTTGGGCCCTGTGAGGGGTGTGGTCATACGGGAGGGTGGAGCTACGGGACAGGCTCTGCTTTGATTGGCCGATCACCATGACGTCATCGCTGGAGAGGCTGGCCGAGCGCAGCTGCAGGTCTGATGAATCTGGAAGGAGCAAAAACAGTCGGTTCTGATTCTAGTTCTGTTTGGGTCACAGGTTCTGGTGGTTCTGGTGGTTCTAGTTCTGCTGAGTCTGGTTCTGGTTCTGGTCTCACCTCTACATCCAACAGGGGAGCTGGAGCTGGAAGTATTGTGGCTGAAGTCCCCAGAACCGGGTCGTCCTCCAAAAACCGGGTCGTCATCCAACAGAAGCGCAGGTTCTGGATCTAAGCGGCCCGCTGACCCACCTCTGGGTCTCTGGCTCCCAGCCGGACCGGTTCTGGAGCTGCGGGTCGGGCTCGCAGAGGAGGACTGAAGGTTTGGAGTGGAGGTCAGGCGGTTCCGGAGGTTTGGACCTGGAAGCAGAACCAACAGGAGTCATTTAGAACCTTCATGACTTCAGGTCCAACAGCTGCAGCCAGAAGGTTCTGATCTGAACACAGCCTGTAAATCTGGACCCGTTCAGAACCAGCAGGTTCAGCCTGGTTCTGATCCTGGTTCTGAACCCGACTAGATAGGCTGGATGTGGACCAGCTGGTTCTGGTTCTGACGGACAGTTCTACCTACACTGTCCAAACCCGACTCCACATTACACCCGGTTCTGATCAGGTCCGGTTTCACTGGTTCCGGTCCAAACACTGGAATGGTTCTGGTCTCTGCAGCTTCTGCCTGCATGGATCTATGTTCTGGAAGCTCATCCCAGCTGGAAGAGAGAAAACGCTCCAGAACCAGAACCAGATACTGGGCCGGGTCCTCCAGAACCAGATACTGGGCCGGGTCCTCCAGAACCAGAACCAGATACTGGGCCGGGTCCTCCAGAACCAGATACTGGGCCGGGTCCTCCAGAACCAGAACCAGATACTGGGCCGGGTCCTCCAGAACCAGAACCAGATACAGGTTTTAGCAGGAAGCTGCAGCAGCAGAAGCTCAGTGAGGCAAACTATTGACTGACGGCTGCAGGAAGAGGCGGGGCTTATGCAAGAAGTGGGCGGAGCCATGTCGCTGAGAGGCGGAGCGTAGGCAGGCGTACTTACTGTGAGCCGTGTCCTGGAGGAGGGGGGGGGGGGGGGGGGGGTTTGATGGAGGTAACAATGGGGGGGGGGGGTGATGATGATGATGAAGCAATGATTAGTAAACTTGACGACTATTGATGACATCAGGTGTGATGTCAGAGGACGACCAGAACCGCAGTCTTCTAGTGAGGGAGAGGGAGGGGCGGGACGATGAAGAGGAGGAGGGGGAGGGGGGGAGGAGCCTGTCCTGACTTTTACTGCGGAGGAAACGGGAACGTTTGGGAGGAGCTGAGAGGAAGAACATGAGAGGTTAGACCCGACAGAACCGGACAGAACCCAACAGAACCCACCAGAGCCCGACAGAACCCAACAGAACCCAGAGCCCAGCCAGGACTGATGATCAGAAAGTTCCCAACAGAACCTGGTTTAACCACCGGTCAGAACCTTCTCCATCCATCTTGGATCGGGTTCTACAGAATCCTGGCTGAGATTCTGTTGATTCTGGAGACCAGGACATTTGGGTCCGGTTCTCTCTAGGAAACATCGGTATGGTCCAGACATCAGCAGAACCTGTAAGACCTGATCCTGGTTCTGGTCCACCCTGTAGAACCTGCTGATCATCAGTCCAGGACCTTCGCCGCCTCACTGGTTTGGACCAGATCACGCATCAGAACCACGGTGCCCTCCTGAGGATCTACCCTGAAGTGCATCTTTAGGAGGTGAAGAACTCAGAACCTTTTCATGAGGAACTGTAGAACCAACAGGTCCAGAACCTGCTGAGACCCGGATGGACGATATGGCTCAGGGTGCTTCTGCTGTCTAATCTAAGCTCCGCCCCCTCCCACAGGTGACTGGCTTTGATCAGACCAGCTGAACGTTGAGCTTACCTCGGCTGACAGGGGTCAGGACTGGACTCTGGTTGCCATGGTTACTGTGCGTATTGCTTCCTGTGCGAAGAGGAGCAGGGGGCGGGGTCTCTGGGGGCAGCAGGGGGGGCGTGGCGGGCAGGGGGATGTCTGGAGCGCTCCTGGCCCGGTCCCGGTCCGGTTGCTCCTTCCTGGGTCTGATGAGTTTGACCAGAGCTTTGGCTCCGGACCACTGGCTCCTCCTGGAAGATGGAGACCAGGATGAGGATGGAACGATGGGGGGTGGGGGGTGGGTGGGTGGGGGGGGGGGGGGCGGGGGGGGGAGAAGGAGGAGGGGGGGTTACTTTTTGGGTGTGGGGTCGTAGAACTTGTATTGGTCCATGATCTTCTCCTCCAGCTTCTCCTTCTGCCGGCGGAGGACGTTCAGCTTGTCTCTGAGGAGGAACAGAAGCAGGGGTCAGAGGTCAGAGGTCAGGGGTCAGATGAGTTGCAGGGCCTTACATGTAGGTCTTCTGCTCCTGGTGGAACAGCTCCTTGCTCTCCATGCTGCGCTCCAGCAGCGTCTGGTTCTGCTGACTCAGCAGGTTGATCTGGCTCAGCAGGTGGTGGTTCTCCTCCTCCAGGTTCCCCTTCAGGCGACTCAGCAGCTGCTCAAACACAACCGGTTCAGACCGCTCCCAGTTCACCCCCCCTCTCCTCCCACCGCTCCCAGTTCACCCCCTCCCTTCTCCCACCGCTCCCAGTTTACCTCGCAGTGGTTGTCCAGTTTGGTCATGGTGATGTCCAGGTTCTGGTGCTGCTCCATCAGCGAGTCGTACCTGGCCATCCATTGACCCGCTTCCTGCTGGGCGGAGCTTAACGAACTCTTCAGCTCGTTAAGGCGCTGCTGGAGCCCCTGGTTCTGCTGCGCCTGGTTCTGGGTCAGTCTAAGCAGATAAGGTCAGGAAGTTAGACGGAGAACCGACCCGGATGGAGCCCAGGTTGGTTCTGATCTAGAAAGCTGGTTCCTGTTCAGTCCCTGATGGACTTCCTCTACCTCACAGCACCTTACGGTCAGAGATTTATGAGGACGGCCTACCAAAGCCAGACTGAGGTTCTACTGGTTAGGATGGCCTTATAAAGTCAGACTGAGGTTCTACTGGTTAGAACGGCGTACCAAAGTCAGACTGAGGTTCTACTGGTTAGGACGGCCTTATAAAGTCAGACTGAGGTTCTACTGGTTAGGATGGCCTTATAAAGTCAGACTGAGGTTCTACTGGTTAGGATGGCCTTATAAAGCCAGACTGAGGTTCTACTGGTTAGGATGGCCTTATAAAGTCAGACTGAGGTTCTACTGGTTAGGACGGCGTACCAAAGTCAGACTGAGGTTCTACTGGTTAGGACGGCCTTATAAAGTCAGACTGAGGTTCTACTGGTTAGGATGGCCTTATAAAGTCAGACTGAGGTTCTAATGGTTAGGATGGCCTTATAAAGTCAGACTGAGGTTCTACTGGTTAGGACGGCGTACCAAAGTCAGACTGAGGTTCTACTGGTTAGGACGGCCTTATAAAGCCAGACTGAGGTTCTACTGGTTAGGACGGCCTTATAAAGTCAGACTGAGGTTCTACTGGTTAGGATGGCCTTATAAAGTCAGACTGAGGTTCTACTGGTTAGGATGGCCTTATAAAGCCAGACTGAGGTTCTACTGGTTAGGATGGCCTTATAAAGTCAGACTGAGGTTCTACTGGTTAGGACGGCGTACCAAAGTCAGACTGAGGTTCTACTGGTTAGGACGGCCTTATAAAGTCAGACTGAGGTTCTACTGGTTAGGACGGCCTTATAAAGTCAGACTGAGGTTCTACTGGTTAGAACGGCCTTATAAAGTCAGACTGAGGTTCTACTGGTTAGAACGGCGTACCAAAGTCAGACTGAGGTTTTACTGGTTAGGACGGCCTTATAAAGTCAGACTGAGGTTCTACTGGTTAGGACGGCCTACCAAAGTCAGACTGAGGTTCTAATGCTTAGGATGGCCTTATAAAGTCAGACTGAGGTTCTACTGGTTAGAACGGCGTACCAAAGTCAGACTGAGGTTCTACTGGTTAGAACGGCCTTATAAAGTCAGACTGAGGTTCTACTGGTTAGAACGGCCTTATAAAGTCAGACTGAGGTTCTACTGGTTAGAACGGCGTACCAAAGTCAGACTGAGGTTTTACTGGTTAGGACGGCCTTATAAAGTCAGACTGAGGTTCTACTGGTTAGGACGGCCTTATAAAGTCAGACTGACGTTCTACTGGTTAGAACGGCGTACCAAAGTCAGACTGAGGTTCTACTTGTTAGGACGGTTTTCCAAAGTCAGACTGAGGTTCTACTGGTTAGAACGGCGTACCAAAGTCAGACTGAGGTTCTACTGGTTAGGATGGCCTTATAAAGTCAGACTGAGGTTCTACTGGTTAGGACGGCGTACCAAAGTCAGACTGAGGTTCTACTGGTTAGGACGGCCTTATAAAGTCAGACTGAGGTTCTACTGGTTAGGATGGCCTTATAAAGTCAGACTGAGGTTCTACTGGTTAGGACGGCGTACCAAAGTCAGACTGAGGTTCTACTGGTTAGGACGGCCTTATAAAGTCAGACTGAGGTTCTACTGGTTAGGACGGCGTACCAAAGTCAGACTGAGGTTCTACTGGTTAGGACGGCCTTATAAAGTCAGACTGAGGTTCTACTGGTTAGGACGGCCTTATAAAGTCAGACTGAGGTTCTACTGGTTAGAACGGCCTTATAAAGTCAGACTGAGGTTCTACTGGTTAGAACGGCGTACCAAAGTCAGACTGAGGTTTTACTGGTTAGGACGGCCTTATAAAGTCAGACTGAGGTTCTACTGGTTAGGACGGCCTACCAAAGTCAGACTGAGGTTCTAATGCTTAGGATGGCCTTATAAAGTCAGACTGAGGTTCTACTGGTTAGAACGGCGTACCAAAGTCAGACTGAGGTTCTACTGGTTAGAACGGCCTTATAAAGTCAGACTGAGGTTCTACTGGTTAGAACGGCCTTATAAAGTCAGACTGAGGTTCTACTGGTTAGAACGGCGTACCAAAGTCAGACTGAGGTTTTACTGGTTAGGACGGCCTTATAAAGTCAGACTGACGTTCTACTGGTTAGAACGGCGTACCAAAGTCAGACTGAGGTTCTACTTGTTAGGACGGTTTTCCAAAGTCAGACTGAGGTTCTACTGGTTAGGAAGGCCTAATAAAGTCAGACTGAGGTTCTACTGGTTAGAACGGCGTACCAAAGTCAGACTGAGGTTCTTCTGTTTAGGACGGCCTTATAAAGTCAGACTGAGGTTCTACTGGTTAGGACGGCCTTATAAAGTCAGACTGAGTTTCTACTGGTTAGGACGGCCTAATAAAGTCAGACTGAGGTTCTAATGGTAAGGACGGCCAACCACAGTCAGACTGAGGTTCTACTGGTTAGGACGGCCTACCAAAGTCAGACTGAGGTTCTACTGGTTAGGACGGCCTAATAAAGTCAGACTGAGGTTCTAATGGTAAGGACGGCCTATCACAGTCAGACTGAGGTTCTAATGGTTAGGACGGCCTTATAAAGTCAGACTGAGGTTCTACTGGTTAGGACGGCCTACCAAAGTCAGACTGAGGTTCTACTGGTTAGGACGGCGTACCAAAATCAGACTGAGGTTCTACTGGTTAGGACGGCGTACCAAAGTCAGACTGAGGTTCTGATGGTTAGGACGGCCTACCAAAGTCAGACTGAGGTTCTACTGGTTAGGACGGCGTACCAAAGTCAGACGGAGGTTCTAATGGTTAGGACAGCCTACCAAAGTCAGACTGAGGTTCTACTGGTTAGGACGGCCTACCAAAGTCAGACTGAGGTTCTAATGGTTAGGACGGCCTACCAAAGTCAGACTGAGGTTCTACTGGTTAGAACGGCGTACCAAAGTCAGACTGAGGTTTTACTGGTTAGGACGGCCTTATAAAGTCAGACTGACGTTCTACTGGTTAGAACGGCGTACCAAAGTCAGACTGAGGTTCTACTTGTTAGGACGGTTTTCCAAAGTCAGACTGAGGTTCTACTGGTTAGGAAGGCCTAATAAAGTCAGACTGAGGTTCTACTGGTTAGAACGGCGTACCAAAGTCAGACTGAGGTTCTTCTGTTTAGGACGGCCTTATAAAGTCAGACTGAGGTTCTACTGGTTAGGACGGCCTTATAAAGTCAGACTGAGTTTCTACTGGTTAGGACGGCCTAATAAAGTCAGACTGAGGTTCTAATGGTAAGGACGGCCAACCACAGTCAGACTGAGGTTCTACTGGTTAGGACGGCCTACCAAAGTCAGACTGAGGTTCTACTGGTTAGGACGGCCTAATAAAGTCAGACTGAGGTTCTAATGGTAAGGACGGCCTATCACAGTCAGACTGAGGTTCTAATGGTTAGGACGGCCTTATAAAGTCAGACTGAGGTTCTACTGGTTAGGACGGCCTACCAAAGTCAGACTGAGGTTCTACTGGTTAGGACGGCGTACCAAAATCAGACTGAGGTTCTACTGGTTAGGACGGCGTACCAAAGTCAGACTGAGGTTCTGATGGTTAGGACGGCCTACCAAAGTCAGACTGAGGTTCTACTGGTTAGGACGGCGTACCAAAGTCAGACGGAGGTTCTAATGGTTAGGACAGCCTACCAAAGTCAGACTGAGGTTCTACTGGTTAGGACGGCCTACCAAAGTCAGACTGAGGTTCTAATGGTTAGGACGGCCTACCAAAGTCAGACTGAGGTTCTACTGGTTAGGACGGCCTACCAAAGTCAGACTGAGGTTCTAATGGTTAGGACGGCCTACCAAAGTCAGACTGAGGTTCTAATGGTTAGGACGGCCTACCACAGTCAGACTGAGGTTCTAATGGTTAGGACGGCCTACCACAGTCAGACTGAGGTTCTAATGGTTAGGACGGCCTACCAAAGTCAGACTGAGGTTCTAATGGTTAGGACGGCCTACCAAAGTCAGACTGAGGTTCTAATGGTTAGGACGGCCTACCAAAGTCAGACTGAGGTTCTAATGGTTAGGACGGCCTACCAAAGTCAGACTGAGGTTCTACTGGTTAGGAAGGCCTTATAAAGTCAGACTGAGGTTCTAATGGTTAGGACGGCCAACCACAGTCAGACTGAGGTTCTACTGGTTAGGACGGCCTTATAAAGTCAGACTGAGTTTCTACTGGTTAGGACGGCCTAATAAAGTCAGACTGAGGTTCTTCTGGTTAGGACGGCCAACCACAGTCAGACTGAGGTTCTTCTGTTTAGGACGGCCTTATAAAGTCAGACTGAGGTTCTACTGTTTAGGACGGCCTTATAAAGTCAGACTGAGGTTCTACTGGTTAGGACGGCCTACCACAGTCAGACTGAGGTTCTACTGGTTAGGACGGCCTACCAAAGTCAGACTGAGGTTCTACTGGTTAGGACGGCCTAATAAAGTCAGACTGAGGTTCTAATGGTAAGGACGGCGTACCAAAGTCAGACTGAGGTTCTAATGGTTAGGACGGCCTAATAAAGTCAGACTGAGGTTCTAATGGTTAGGACGGCGTACCAAAGTCAGACTGAGGTTCTACTGGTTAGGACGGCGTACCAAAGTCAGACTGAGGTTCTAATGGTTAGGACGGCCTAATAAAGTCAGACTGAGGTTCTACTGGTTAGGACGGCGTACCAAAGTCAGACTGAGGTTCTAATGGTTAGGACGGCCTACCAAAGTCAGACTGAGGTTCTAATGGTTAGGACGGTCTACCAAAGTCAGACTGAGGTTCTAATGGTTAGGACGGCCTACCAAGGTCAGACTGAGGTTCTAATGGTTAGGACGGCCTACCAAAGTCAGACTGAGGTTCTACTGGTTAGGACGGCCTACAAAGTCAGACTGAGGTTCTAATGGTTAGGATGGCGTACCAAAGTCAGACTGAGGTTCTACTGGTTAGGACGGCCTACCAAAGTCAGACTGAGGTTCTACTGGTTAGGACGGCCTACCAAAGTCAGACTGAGGTTCTACTGGTTAGGACGGCCTACCAAAGTCAGACTGAGGTTCTAATGGTTAGGACGGCCTACCAAAGTCAGACTGAGGTTCTACTGGTTAGGACGGCCTACCAAAGTCAGACTGAGGTTCTAATGGTTAGGACGGCCTACCAAAGTCAGACTGAGGTTCTAATGGTTAGGACGGCCTACCAAAGTCAGACTGAGGTTCTAATGGTTAGGACGGCCTACCAAAGTCAGACTGAGGTTCTAATGGTTAGGACGGCCTACCAAAGTCAGACTGAGGTTCTAATGGTTAGGACGGCCTACCAAAGTCAGACTGAGGTTCTAATGGTTAGGACGGCCTACCAAAGTCAGACTGAGGTTCTAATGGTTAGGACGGCCTACCACAGTCAGACTGAGGTTCTCAGATTTTCACCTGCAGTTCTACTGAGTTCTGACCAAGATAAGGAAAAAGTTCTGGTTCTGGTCCAATTCTACTGTAAGCAGAATCAGGGCATTTTACTCCTGCTAAAACATAGAAGCGCCCCCTAGTGGACCAGACAGTGAGGCCCGGTAGCTTCTCCTTGGTTCTGATTCTGCCCAGTGAAGATGTCCATGAACTGCCTCATTGGACACATTTAGAGTCCAGATGGTTCTGGAGGTCCAGTGTCCTGAACAGGAACCAGGAGCGTCTCGGGTGTGTTGGACACGGACGTCCAGGACTGGAGTCTGACAGCAACAGAGGCTAGATGTTCTTACCGATCCACTTCGGACTTCAGCTGCAGGTTCTCCTGCTGTAGAAGCCGGTTCTTCTGGACCTCCTGCTGCAGCTCCTCCTGCTCCTCCTGACCTTCCTTCTGCTGCTCTTCCCACTTCTCCTTCAGCTGCAGCAGAGCGCAGTACCTGCAGCGACACCACAACCGTTAACCACAGGCAGCTGGTGCCCTTCTGGACCTGCTCTGGAATTCTGAAATTCTGACGGGTTGATGCAGAACCTGACAGTAAAATGACCGATACGATGCTGGGGTCCACATTCCCAGTTCACTTAAACACCAGCAGTTCTGGGTTCTGCTCCTCAGGCGCCAGAGAGGAACCTTCTTTGTCCGTCTGTCTGCTGATTCCAATCAAGTAAAAAAATAATCCACTGGACTTTAGGCCTGGCTGACCAGGCGAGACGTTTTTGTGATAGCGGGAAGGAATCAACTCTATCGCCGCATTGAAGGATTATGGAAGATGAAATATGAGTTCCCCCCCCACCCCCCACTGTTTAAGGTTGTTTTTTCTTTCTCAACATAGATGGCTTCCTTCCTCTCACACCACCTGTCTTCTTTGTCCAAAATGCGAACATTCTGGTCCTCCAAAGAATGTCCTTTGTCCATCAGCTGTAGATGTAGCGCAGAGTCTTGTCCAGAGGAGGGCGCTCTTCTGTGTTGGGCCGTGCGTCTGTGGAGAGGTTGTTTGGTTTCTCCAATAAGATCAAAGCATTCCTCCCTGCACTGAACTGCAGACACTCTGCTCAGATTAGGTCTGCAGGTTCGGTCTTTGTTTTTGTGTTTAATAGAGTTGATCCTTCCCGCTATCATCGCAGCTCCAACCCCTTTACAGGAGAACAGAAGACCTCACCTGTTCAGCCAGGCCAACTATTCCCTCTAACGACCCCCCTTCCAGAGACATAGACAGGTATGGGGCATTGCAGGCTAACAAAGAAGCCAAACGACCCCCATTCCAAAGGGGGGGACCCGCTGGAACAAAATCAAGGCTTTGTTGGGCTGCTGTATAAAACCTGGAACTTAACGCTATTTCTGCCATTTTTAATTTGAAAAAGCTTCCTGGATGGAAGAGAAAGTCCAGTGGATTGATTTTAACTTTTTTTGAATGACTCTGACCTGAATGACTGAGAACCTTCAGCAGTTTGTCTGTCTGTCTGCTGAAGAACGTAGAGTAGGGTGACCAGACGGCCTCTTTTTCCCTCACATGTCCTACTTTTCATACCTGAAAAAATGTCCGGGGGGGAATTTCAAAATGGTCCTGGATTTTAGTCGACTACAGTGCAGCACGTAGTGGAAACACAGCGGGTCCTGGAACCGACCGTCAGCTCCGGGGCAGGAACCCCGGCGGAGGGGGGCAGGAACCCCGGCGGAGGGGGGCAGGAACCCCGGCGGAGGGGGGGCAGGGAGCCAGCGGAGGGGGGGCAGGGACCCCGGTGGAGGGGGGGCAGGAACCTCGGCAGAGGGGGGGCAGGAACCTCGGCAGAGGGGGGGCAGGAACCCCGGCGGAGGGGGGGCAGGAACCTCGGCAGAGGGGGGGCAGGAACCCTGGCGGAGGGGGGGCAGGAACCCCGGTGGAGGTAACAGAGGTTGGCTGCAGCTATCTGTGCTCAGAGCGTTTTGAGTCCCTGTTTTTTTCTCTCTCCCGCTGCTCCCATGTCCCGCCTCTCGGTGTGACATCATCAGATCTGTTGCTTTGAGACATCTGATTGGCGGTCGCATTTTACAGCAGCACTCGGTGAATATTAACCAGCAGCTACTTCCTGCTTATATAAAAGTTAGGAGACGGTTTGGTTAAAATAATTAAAGATGCCACCAAAAAATCTGCTAATCAGACATACGGAGATTTTTCAACTAAAAACGGCAACAGATTAAAGTTTATACAAGTTAGTATTATAATGCAAGAAACTTGAGAAAATATAGTTTGTTCTTTATTAGTTAAAAAAATCTTGGCTTGTCAGAGGGCCAGGACTCCCAGTAAAGGTTAAAATGTTTCTTATTGAACAGACAGAATCAGACTGCAGAGCTTCTACACATCTAGAAATGTTGTTTCTAGCATCATTATATTAGTAAAGAGGTTCATAAATCTTTTTAAACAGAGAGAAGTAGGGAGAGCTGCAGATTTAAAGGTGAAACAGATTTACTGGGATATGCAACACGTCCAAGTTTAGCAGAAAGTTTAAAAGAAAAAAAAATGCAATATTTAAAATGCAGCATATCCAGATTTTTCTGGATGGAATTGAAATTGTTCTTCTAGGGATGCATGATTTATCGATTTTGGCATCGGAATCGGCTGTTGTTAATTATTTATTTCATGCACTGATGTTTTTGGGCCCTATATATGTAAGGCACTAAAAGGCATCTCTCTAACGTTAAATATAAATGTAACGTTAAATCAGTGTTTCTGCTGTTTTCTCAACAACAGGAAACAATCAATAAATAAATGTTGGAGCTGATTTTAGGAAAACTAGCCTAATGAAAGTGTAACTGTACGGCCCACCCGAGTGTCCCCACAAACTTTTATCACAAAGTTGCGCCCTTGCAGTGAAGGTAGTCTGCACCATCTGGAGCTGTGTGCGCCTCCACCTGACAGGGAAGGAGAACCACTTACTTGCCGTGCAGTGTCCGGTGCTCGCTCTCTAGCGCCCTCTGCTTGCCTTTCAGCGCGGCGTGCTGGCTGATGAGCGTCTCGTACTCCTGAGCCTGCCTCTCGTGCACGCTCAGCAGGCGCTCGTGGTCACTGAGCACGCTCTCACGGGCACGCCATGCCTCGTCACGCTGCCGCTGCCAGGACTCCGCCTCTGCCTCTAGGGCAGTGACCTGGCCTTGCAGCACGGCATTCTGGGCCATGAGGGAGGCGCTCTGCGAGGAGACGGTGGAGTTCTCCACCTGCGGCGGACAGAGGAAGGTCAGATGGTTCTGATGAAGAGGAGGCCCTCAGAGAGGAGGAGACGGAGGAGCACCTGCAGCTTGGCCGTCTCTGTGTGCAGAGCAGAGTTCTGCTCCTGCAGGGTGGAGGCGTGTCGTTGCAGCGCCGCCATCTGGCTGTTGAGGGAAGAGTTCTGGTTCTCCATCTGTTTGAGCTGCTCCTTCAGTAAACTGCTCTCCGTCTGCAGAGAGGCGTTCTGCAGCAAACAGCAGCTTAGAGGCTTCGAAGCAGGCAGAGCGGCTGATGGAGGGAGGCTCAGGGTTCTACTTACGCTCTTCTCCACGGCGATGAGATGATCCTTCTGGCGCAGGAGTTCAGCTGTGGCCTTGAGTTCGCTGCCTGGTCCCTGCTGCTGAGGGTCACAAACAGACACAGCTTCAGCCACACGGAGCTACGGCGGTTAGAGGGACAAAGGATCTGGATGGAAG